AATTGGAAAGATTACGATAAACAATTATTTTTTACAGTATTTTCGTTAAAATATTTGCTGATAATATTATATTATATTATATAATAATATAATATTGTAGAAAGGCATTGAGAGCCGTCGCGGGATGTTAGTGCAAAATTATTTAATTTTTCTTAAAGAAATTAATTTATTAGTCTACGTGAGACAGTTAACTTGTACACCGATCTCTAATTCGAGATATTTAAAGTGTACGAAAAGTTTAGTACATTGTTCTCACATATGGAGAATCATTATGTACTGATAGGAATTATTGGAAAGAAAGGAAGAGAGAGAAAAAATATCAGGGCGCGAGTGGCTAAGCCGCTAAGGAATTGAACCCGGATCTTCCGCTTTCTATTATATTATTTGATAGTTATAAACAATATATTTTTTTATTTAATACTGAAACATAAAATAAATTATGTAAAGAGTAATTAATATTACTTATTAATATTATAATAATATAATGTAGTTTAAGATTTTTATTGAAAAAAATATTTATAATTAGTACCTTTTTTTCTAATCGATAATAAAAAGAGAGAAAACTTTTTGATATAAATACTGCCTAAAATTAACCGCAAGAAACAAAATAATAATTACCAAATTGCCAAATCACAATTATTATGTTTTATTGCAGTTTTAGATGAATTACTTTCAACCTGGTCACTAATTCCGAATAAAATTTCGCACGAATTCATCAAAGTTTTATTAGTTTATATGAAAAATTTTACCTGGTTAAGAATATTTTTTCTTTGAATTTGTCAATAAGTGCTATAATACATAATTTTACCTAAAAAACTAAGGTAAACATAAAAATAAAATAACTTTCAAAATAATCAAAGAATTGTGTCTAAAATTTACGCAAACATTTAAAATAAATCATAAAATAATCTACAATTTGTACGTTCTGTCAATATTTCAATATACGACTCATACGTGAAAATTAGAACTCATTTTAAACAAAAAAAATGAGTAATTCAAACTACTATCTAAATTAACAAAAATGTTCTGACATATAAGTTTAGTAAGTGACTCCGTAAATCTCTAAAGATATTGTATATTTTTATTATCAGTTCTTTTTAGACAGTTTATATTGCGTTATATCACAAGCATGTATGCGTGTGTATGTATAATAATTAGTATAATAATTAGAATATTTGTATAATAATTGTATAATAATTAGATTATATCACAATCTAATTTTAATTATTAGTTTATCAAATAATATAAAATTAAATTTTAACTAACAAAAAATTGGCAAAACAAATTTATATGTTGACGTACCATTACGGCGTTCATTTTAAAGTCCATCATGTTTTTCACTTCTGCGGCCATCTCCCGAACAAGAACAAGACCATCTTTTTTTGCAATGTTGCTCTCCACATCGTGATATTTCTAAGAATAAAACAGTTAAAATTTGTGTCAATTATATTATAAGCTTCTTGCATTAAACAACAATTTTGAAGAATTTAAAAATAAGTCATTTTTTTTATAAATATTTGTACAATAATTATATCTTTATTAAGTTTGTAGCTGTACAATAATTATATCTTTATTAACTTTGTAACTGTTAATAAATAAAAACGCTTTAAGAGCAAAAATTGTTTATATAAAAAAGCAATTAAATTCACGTAAAAAAATGTATATTTGAAATTTTTTAAAACACTAAATGCAAATCAAAAATCAAAATTTAAAATTCCAAATCAAAAACATAATGTAATAATTAAAATTTTAAACAGTAGATTTTATACTGTAAATTATGATTCATCAAAGTCAAACAATGACAAAGAAAGCAATATAAACCAGAAGCACTGTTGTTAAAGCGCAAAAACTATTAACAATTATTAATATGAATTTATATATTAATTATTAATATATAAAAACATTTCAGCCACAATTTCAAAGTTTCTTCCGCTTGAGAAAATACAAAGAAAAATAAAAAAAGATTAAGTTACACGGAAAAAATATAAAAAACGAAATTAAAACTCAAATTATTAATAAGACAAAGACAAGATATACCGATTATACGTGCAACACCAACCAGTACAATATGCCAGAGCAAACTAATATGATATACCAATATCTGTACCTAACAAGAATTTAAAACAATCGATTTTATACACAGTGAATCTTTCTGTACTTTTTATAAGATGATTAGTTTTAGTAAGTTTTTCCTACTTCCTATTCAAAGAGATGATCATTTCTGAAATTGTGTATAGGTATTAAAAATGAATGACATTAATCTGAAAATTGACACACACATACATGGATTAGATATATATACTATCTTATATTAGAGACTGCCGAATGTTTTGTTTGAATCTCCACGTAGATCATATACTCTTCACGGATTTTATACCCTAATTACTCATTCCAAGCCCTTGTTGCGTATAATTAATTAATATATCATATCAGATGACTCTGATATGTCGTATTAATGCTGCACGTATGATTGATAAATCCAATCTATTTTATTAATTATTTGAGTTTCAATCTATTTATATTTTTCACATAGTTTAAACCTTTTCCTTTTTTCTTTGTATTTTCTCAAGCTGAAAAAAAACAGAATTGTGGCTAAAATGTTCTTCAAATATTCATTAATAATAGATTTTATTTAAAACTATTTCAAGGAACTTTAAGAATCATTAATTTAAAAATTAAAATGTAACTTTTGTATGATTCTTTTTAACCTAAGAACAAAATGTAATTAAATTCAAAAAATTCAAAAAATAGTTATTAATACTTAATTTAAATATGATATGTCAATAAAAATTTCAAAAATACAATAAATTTTATTTCGTACTTTGTAAAAATAATAGTTCTTTTTTTTATTTTTTCATTTATGTTGGACTTATTATATTCAAAGATCGTAAAAATTCTTAGAAATCAGATTTTGACAAAATAGAATACTTTTTTAAATTTGTACGTGATATGTTAAATAGTCTGCAAAGTTTGAAAGTTTTACCGGAGATCCAAATTCATTCAAGACTTACAGATACAGTGTTTTCGACATACGGATCCAATAGACAGAAAACACCATTTTTTTATGGTTATTTTGAAATAACACATACATGAGTCATTAATACTATGGTAAATTTTTATATCATTAACCGATAAAAAATTAATATGATTTACTCAATAAAAAATATATTTTTTTATATAATTATAATTAATTATATGTGCATTATGCGCACACACGTACACATGTGTGCGCGCACGCATATTAAATATAATATTTTATAATATTAAATATAATATCTTACTCTTTGTATCTCGCCCATTTTTGTTGCTTGTTTACCAAATTCCCATAAATCCACGCCAAACTTTAAGGCCCAGTTTTTCACTCTGCAATAATTATTAATTATTATTCTCGGTTTATTTTATTGTAGTAAGAATTGTGACATTTATAACAAAAATAAGTAATATATTATGTCTTTATGTTTCTTCTTACTTTATGCTATTAATACTTTATCTTAACACTTTAAGGACCGGAGACCGATATTTGTGTCTTCGTTCAGCCATCGTTTGCGGACCGGAGACACAGATTCGTGTTTTGATATAATGGCGGTATAATGGCAATGTTTCCTTATCTTATCTTATCTGCTTGTAGAAAAAACAATTTTTGGAGAGTATAATAGAAATTTTTATTTTCACATATACGACAAAACATGCCGGAAACAAGGCTAAGTTTCCGCGTCAAAGGCACCGGTCTTCAAGGTGTTAACATATAAGAAATAATTAATTATTCTAATCGCAGTAATTTACACTTCTATCAACTAAAACTATAATACGGGAAAAGTTACAAAATAAGCATGTAAATGCAAAGAATTTATTTAATAGATTAATTATAATAAAAAGATTAATGATTAAGTATACTATTACTTTTTGATTTTGCACAATTTTAGTAAAAAGGATAAATTGAAGACATTACGGTGTACGAATTCAGACAAATCAGACACGTGATTAATAATTAAGAGATTCAAATTTGATTTCTGGTAGACCTTCTATTTAAAAAAAAAAACTGTTTTATACTATTAACACTTATTAGACGCTGTATATAATATATTAAATACTGTATATTAATAATGCAAACATCTTAATGGAAAATTAAATAAAAAGCGTCTAATACATAAAATTTTTCTAGATCTTCTTTAAACATTGTTGAGAAGCACATAATATAATATTAAACAGCGGTTTACTCTTTCTTTACTTAAGTTTCAATAAATAATCACATTGTTTGTCGATAATTTTATTCATTAAAAAAATCTTTTTGGGACTAATATATCAAAAGTTTTTCTGAGATCTATATCAAGTTCTCTCATTCTTGAATCTTTCCAACCTCCTTTGCCTTTTTAGTTATTTGCATTTATAGCGTCATTTATATCTTACATTGCGAGTTATGCATTTTTGAATCAAACATATTTTATATAATTATTGGCATATAATAATTATTAATTAAAAAATGTAGAGAAAAATATGATCAGATAGCTAATTAACTGGTTAAAAATTTGATTAATCATAATCTAAGATTAAATTTAAAACAAAACTTTTAAACTGGGAATACGAGGCATTATTTTACAAACGTCTTTGCGCATCTTTTAAAATCTTTCGCATAATCGTCCCCCCTCCCTCTTTCTCTCTCTGTTCTCTTCTTCTCTCCTTTCCACTCTTTCTCCCCCTTCCTCCATTTTTATTCTTCTCCTTTTTCTTTGTCCCTTTTTATCTTTCCTTTTCTCTCTTTTTTGTTTTCTATCTACCCTCCTTTCCGTCCTTTCTCATTTTTCACAGATACATTTTTTTACTAGATCTTTTCGTTTGCATCTTCTATATTTGCGCTTCTTTTATTTTTTTCCCTTTATTCTGCATATTCACTTTTCTTCTTACATCCTCAAGCTTTCTATATCTTTCGTTTTTTTTCTCCTCTCATTTCTCCTCTCTTTCATTTTTTTCTTTTCTTTCTTTTATCCCCACCCCCTCTCTAATATACTCTGCCTCTTTATCTCTCTTTACATGCTTCTTTATTTTCTTATTCTGTCACTGCTAACTTGTTTTCACCCTCGCTTTTCACTCTTCAATCTCGCATCTCTTTCAATTCCTATCAACTTTTACCCGAGCTTTATGCACTCCATTCATCCGAACGCTCGCATATCACACCCCTCTCATCTTTCCCTCCTTCCCTGTTAATTCCTTTCAAACTCTTCATGCGTCATCTATGTCTGACAATGCACAGGGTTGCCGAATATCATTTTTACGCCTTTAACATCACTTAATCATAAGAATAGTAAAAATATTTTTACGATTTACACTTACTCATTGTGAGGAATGTCTTCCTCTTGCTGGCTGCTTGAACCGATCCACAGCAGACATAGTATCCCGAAATGCAGGAATCTATCGTCAATACGCGGAAACATTATTTCGACGATGTTCTATTATTATTTTTCTCGAAATCCTTGCTCT